AGATTTCTCCCAACCCAGGCCATTCTATGATTCTATGATTTCCTTTATTACTGTTTGTTGCACACAGTGGGAAGTTCAAAGGAAATTGTTCAGGTTGATGAAGAACTGTTATTTTTAGAAACATGTGGGTTGTTCCTTTTCTCTCCTTGATGGTGACAATGAACCACTATCAAAGGCAGAAAACTGCTGGAAACGTTTTGTGGTTCAAAATTCAGCAGCTAAGTAGTTTGTGCATCACCAGTTGACAGAAGAACAACTAATAGCTCACTGCTAATTACTGATTTCCTTTATTTATGTATCAAGCTGCCACTGTGCTTTGCAGCTGTATTGTACAAAAGAAGTGAAGAATGAGAAACGAATATTTGCTTTTATAAAAGAAGTCAAAAAATGACACCTCCATCAGGTAGGCATCATGTACCAACTTCTTCATTTTAATGAAGAACCTCCTGGTTCCTACTTTATTTTTAACTTTTCTGGATTCTTCCACTGTTCACCGAAGTAGGCACGTTGAATGTGTTCAAAAAGTAACTCATATGGCTTGAAAAATGTTGAAACCCACACTTTATGAAAAAATATTCCTTTTGTGTTATTTCTGGTGAAATATATGGAAAGTTTAAGTTTGCCACATGTCCAGCCAGCATGGCTCACGTGGGCTTCCACTGCACAGCTCCAGTGCCTCCTTTCCCTGGGTGTCCTGCAGGGTTGGACACGCTGCCACTGTCCTGTCCAAGCCACCTCATGACTCCCAGTTCCCTCCTCTCTCCATTGGGCTTCATTTCGAAATCACAGCTATAAAATAAATAATAAAAATAAGGTGAAATTGAGAACTGAGGTGAAATTCTCCCTCTTAACCCGACAGGAAAGGCTGGACCAGGTTTTGGACAGCAGCCTGATTTCAACAGGAATAACTAAACATAAGCTGTCCATTTTTTGTATTGAAATGTATTATTTCTGCTTCTAGTTTAAGGAAAAAATTGCAGAGACATAGAACAAGCTGAGTTGGGTGGAGCTGTGTACCTTGGGAAAGATTAATGGGTGAGAATACTGCAAAAACAGGCAGAATTTGTGAGAGGATTGTGTGCTGAGCATCACTAGATGTCTCCCTCGACCTGAATTTAGTTTCACAGACTCACTTGCTTGTCAGAAATTTTAATTTTAAATTACTCATCTTCTGTTCACTACCCCCACCCTTTTTTTCCCCTTGCACTTAATGCACAGGGGATCTCCCAGTTCAGTGGAGCATAAACTGTTGTGCATCAATATTTTGCTGGTTGCTTTAAAATAGTGACTGAAATAAAATTATTGAGAGCTCCTAAACCATGAAATTTCCATGGCAGGAGGAATGAGCTCATTCTTTTCTGCTGATCAGCACCCTTGGTATGCTGGTGGTACAAAATCAAAGCTCCCTTCATGTGATGGAGTCACGAGGAGCTCTGCCTTCCTCTCTTCTTCAGCACCATTCCACAGAAGAAAGAAAGAACCCTTTTATAAAACAGGTTTTAGGCAGTAATTTTCAGGTAAAACAAGTTTTCAGTGAAAGGCTTTGTTTTTTCAGCTCTTAAATACTTTCTGAGAGCATTCCAGCCCTGCTGGAACATTTATGCTTGAATGAGAGGCAAAAATGTTTCTATGAAGTTAATACTTTATTTATTTATTTAAACAATAATTTCATTCAACTCTTGCTTTTTAGCCTGAAATAACTTGTTTCATGATGTCCTTTTCTTAGGTATGAAAATATTTAGGAAAAGTCTTTAATAAACTGAAAGAGATACATACATTTTTTTTAACTTCTGCCTATTAAACATATATTTAGGTTGATTAAAAACATAGTGGTCATGGGAAGTTTTTTTTAGTTTAACTTCCACAAAAAGCACCAAACAATGAGTTTGAACAGGGTTGGCCACAGTATGCTATTTGGAAAACTCCTGGGGATTTAGCATTTCAGAAAACAGGTAGGGAAGTCCCTAATTTCTGACTTATGAAGTCACTCCCAGGGCTGAGATAACATGAAGCAGGAGGCTGGCACAGAGATTTACAGCTCATGGCAGGAAGGAAGTTTGGAAAAAGGTGTTTCAGAATTTCTGTTAGTAAATCTGAGACAAGTCAGTCTTTTTAGCCTACAACCCAAGAGGTTGAGAGAATTGAGATTGTTCAGTCTGGAGAAGAGAAGCTTTGGGGTGACCTAACTGTGGCTTTGCAGTGCCTGAAGGAGCTACAAGAAAGATGGAGAGAGACTATTTACAGGGGCCTGGAGTGACAGGAAAATGGGGGATGGCTTCAAACTGACAGAGGCTGGGAATAGATTAGAGATTAGAAGGAAATTGTTCCCTGTGAGGGTGGGGAGGCCCTGGCACAGGCTGCCCAGAGAAGCTGTGGCTGCCCCATTCCTGGAAGTGTCCAAGGCCAGGTTGGACGGGGCTTGGAGCAACCTGGGCTAGTGGCAGGTGTCCCTGCCCATGGCAGGGGGTCCTTTCCAACCCAGAGCATTCTGTGATTCCATGAAAGCAGGTCAGGAGGACCCAGGTGGGAGTGGGACCAGCCTGGGGGGTCATGGCTGGTCAGTGATGGGCAGCAGCAGCCTCAGAGGGGTCAGGACAAGGCAAGTCACAGGCAAAAGGCCCTTGGCAGCAAACACACCTTGTACAAGTATTAAAGAAGAGGAAAAAGTAGCTACAAAGTCACGTCTGGCACCGGCTTCATTCCCTATTGTCAGAGTTCATGTTTTTCTGAAGAGAAACGTGCACTGCTGGTACAACACATTCCCCTCCTGTGCTGGTCAGACAATGCACAAAGTGCTCTTGTTCTTCCACAATGATTCCAAAACCCTTTCCCCCATACTTTGCATCTTCGTGATGTCGTTTATTGAGGAGAGTATTTTATTTCAGTTTATTCCAGCAGTGAATTTTCCCATGTGTTTGTTGCAGCACATGAGTCTGGCATATGTTTGGATCGATTGACTGAGAGGAGAAAAAGAAAATTACACCCCAGCTTTTATTAAAGGGAGGTGTAATTAACGACTTCAGATTAATTGAAAATGTTTGCTCTAAGAGTAGCAATTGAGCTCTATCCTGATTAACTGCTTTCTCTCAGGCTTTGTAACCTTGCAGAACGTGCTGTTCAGCAGGCAGTGGAGGGGAAAAGACCATGTAATATCTCTGCAGAACCTTTATAAAAGAAACCGGTCATTTTCCCAGTCTGAAATGTTCTGTGCTGCTATAATCACATTATAGAAAGGAGTTTCTTGGGATTGTTTAATTTAAAAAGAAAATCGTAGTTCCTTGAGGGCTGAGGACTCTAAGAGGGAATAGGTCAGTACTAGAAATCCGATTCTGAGTGAATTAGTTGCTATTTTATTTTAACCAAATGACTTGAGATAGGTGTCAAAGAAACATGTTTCTTATGATTTCTTTTTCCAGTTTATAAAAAATTTCCATCCTCTCATGCTGGACGTAGAATACTCTGAGAGCATTGAAAGACAATCTTTTATTAAATATTCCTGCAGAAGATCTGGGCTTAGCCAGGCCCTGTTACATTATTGACCTGTGTTAAGTTAACATTCTTTCCAAGAATAGGACTGAGTTTTTAATCAGTTAAAAGGATAAAAATCTGTTTATATTAGCACATAGTGACCTTCCATTTAATTTCTTTTGCCTTAAGTAATCTGAGAGAGTTAATTCCTAATCCTTTCTCTCCCACTTGTTTGCTGTTGGGGTCTCTCTTGGGTCCATTTGGTTCAGTGATTCTGAGTTTAAAAGCTCTTGACTGTGGGGCTGCCAGAACCAGCTCTGAGGCACAACTGAGCTCCGTGTCTGGGATGTTGGCAACCTGCTACAAGGTGAATGTGTTGGCCAGCTCTGCACTGTGATGTTTTCCTCAGCTTGCCTGTGCCTTCCAGCCTGAATTTGCCTCTTTTGGCAGGTAAATCAGTCCAGCTCCTCAGTGGGGGTCCATAACTACACCAGCTGAAAGAGCAGGTGGGATTTATAGCTGTGGGTGTGCTGGGCTGAGCCAGGGACCACCCTCAGCCCAGAGTGATCCATTGGCATCTCTTCTGCACTGAACTTCTCAACTTCCTGTGTTTTTATTAAAAAGCTGCCTCTAGACCAGCAGAGGAAGGAGACCCATCATCAAACCCAAATGTTTCAATTCCTGTCACCCCTTCAAACCTGTGCTTTGCAGGAGATACTTCATAGCTTTGGATTTTCCCTTTTGCCTCCGTTTGGAGGAAAAAGAAATGTCAAAATATGAAGAGTCCACCTTCCAGCCATGTCTATTCAGAACTTTTAGTCTCCAAATTGATTTCAATATGGGTTTGTGATGTAATAGAAGCCACCTTATTTCAGTGGGAAAACTGAGGCATATTTTCCCTGTAGCTGCTGAACAATTTTTGTCATAGCCAGGGTTAGATTTCAGGATTGTCTTACTGGAAATTCCCTCTTCTAATCACTAGACTCTCTTCTCCAGTACAAATAGCAAAGGCAAAGTTTAAAATGTTCCTTGTCTTTACAGGAATCTTGTACATTAAGCTGCAGGTGCCTTTGTGCTTTCATCCAATATGAACATATTCATGCTGGAGTTTGAAGACACGTTAAAGATTGTTGCTGTGTGTAAAAACACTACTGGGAAAATTGAGCACTGTGTTTGCAGTTCCTCAGGCAAACTTCATTATATTTAGCACAAAATTTGTTTGGGCAACTAACATGTTGGGTGTTCAGGTAGTTTCAATGTACAGTAATAAATCATATTTTCAATATTCATGGCTTGGTGATTTCAGGAAGTCCCAAGAACATAAATATCAGTTCAGGAAAAGCAAACAAACAACTTCTACTTTTTTTGTCTTTTCACAGAGCTGCCATAAGGAAGCAAAGCATCATTATTGTTTCTTTCAGTTCTCAGCATAAAAGGAAGTAACACCTAATAAAAGCCATTGGCTGCAAGATTTCATAAGAGAGAGAAGCAGAGAGAGAGAACGAGCAGCGTGGTGTGGAAAAGCAGGTGTGATTCATGAATAAACTGTACTTTGCAACCCTGTAGGATACTGATGAAACAAATAGAATTTGCACAGACATGGATAATACAAGAACACAAGACACTTTTTCACAGGTAAAGGCAGAAACTGTTATGGCTTGTGTGAAAGTGCTATTTGTTGTGTGTAACTGGAGAAGGCATTTCAGAACCTGAAAATGACTTTGTACTTTACTGGCAAGGAATTTGCAGTAGATTGTTTGATGTAATTGATTATTATGTGATGTGAGCGCAGATTGGTCGAATACTTCAGAAAGTGTTTGCAGAAGATGTGTATGAGACAATATTTTTCTGTGCTTTATTCTTAAGAAAGCTGAAACTTGTGAGGTTTTCCTGATACAAAAAAAGGGACAGAGAGATAAAATCAGTCTTTCTATTGCCATGCTAGAGAGGATTTATTAATACTATATTTTATCTGTGCTGAGAATTTCCATAAAGTAATTGGAGGGGAGAAAAAAAGTGGTTTATATTATAGGCAAAAGCAGTCTTTTGATAATCATAGTGGAATCTGAAGTGATTGATATGCCAGAATTGAATATACATCAGCTTACAGCACTACTGGATTTGTCTGAGTGCCTTCCAGACACAGTCTTGTAGCATTCTACTTGTTTCCAATACTTGGGTGTTTAGAAGTCTGTTATCTGGAGAACTGAGTAGTGGAAAGCTCCTAAGTCTAAATAAGACAGCTGATGGGATGTACTGGCAGAGGTTCCCTGGTGTGTGATTTGGAGGAAAGAGCAATTAGGAAAAAGGATGATTGTGATGCACGTGGGCTGAGAAGGTGATGGAGGGGTCTGAGTTATCCTGGGCAGCCACCAAGGGTGGGGGCTGGGGAGGATCCAACCCTGTTTGCATGATTCCCCTTCTTCCCTGAGTGTGGGATGTCAATTGGACAGGTTTTCTAGGCAAGAAAAATTGCTCTGGACAAACCCAGAGCAATTGAAGGGAGAAAATAAGTTTCTCCTATTTGTTGCTCTTCAGTTTGTCAAGGAGGAGGAAGGGACAGGTGGTCCCCTTTGGTTACCTCCACACAACATCAACCTCCTTGGCCTTGGAAGGTTTATGCAGGGCAGGGTAACAGGTGATGCAAACACTGAATCCTTGAGCCTGGTAGAAAGGAATTGCTGAACCTGAAGTAGCAATACCTGAAGTGTTGTAAAATTGCAGGTCCCACCTGGCTCTGTTCAGTGTAATGAGGTGCTGAGGTTCTGGGATCTATTTGGAGAAGCTGTTGATGACAGTGGGGTTGGAAAGGCACAAATCCAGCCTGGGAGTGTTTTCCATTTCTTTGCTCTCAGCAGCCTCTGTGTTTATTGCTTGGCACCAACACACAGGCACGAGTGGCAGTGATGAATCATTGCTCTTATTTCTTACCTCAGGTACTGCTGGGGAGGTTGGGGACAGCACAGATGTGGAAATAACCAAATGTTTGCTACCAGAAAGGGCTTTACATGAATGAGAATCTGCAAACAGGAAACCACAACCAGATGGTGCCACTTCTCGCTCTCTTTCACTCCCAAGGCCTGCAACAAAGCACATGTACAAAGGTCAGGTTGTACAATCACTAAAACATTTGCAAAGCTGAACTGTGCCTGAGAAAAACGTGTGTTTTAAACTTTTTGTGTACTCCTTTCAGAACTTGACTGTATGTCTTCCTGAGGTTTTTCATGTAAGTCTTCTGAGAGCCGGGAAGATCAAGGTGCAAGGTGGAATGGCTGTCAGACCTTTCACTTTCCACCCTGCCTTACTTTAATCAACTAAAATACTTTATCCCCATGGCTTTCCCCTACAATTTTAGTTAGACTTTTTTGTTAAAGGCCACCTCTCTTAGATGATTGATTTTTTTTTCCCCAATTTTTATTTCTGTGATCTCTTCCAAGGTACCTTAAAGCAGATTTTCACTGTATCCTTACCAAGGGATCAATTCCATTTAAATAAGGCCAAATGATCCCATATCTTCAGATATGTATATTCATGAGTGTGTAGCCAGCCTTGGGAGCAGCTCTTGTACCCTTTGAGATGGGCTATTTTTGAAGGACTACAAACCAGAAATGTGATGCTCTGCTGATCTCTTGGGGCTTCTGATGGTTTGACTGTCCAGAATCTGCTCCTTGCAGTTAACATCAAATGTCAAACAGTGTCTTTTTGTAGGCAAGTATTCAGAACATAACATTTATACAGACAAGGATCATACTCTGCTAAATCTGTTGGAGACTGGGAAAGAGAAATAGCCCATTTTACCTAAATATTTTGCTAGGATGATTTATTAACAAACCAGAATCCTGGGAAAAGAAAAAGTTAGGTCAGAGATGATACATGAGCAGGTGGATGCTCACTGGGGATTTTCCATGAGCTCTCAGACCGTGTTTTGATCAGAGCATAATGAAAGGTTTGTTCATTAAATGTTCCATCTAATTAATGTAAAATTCATGGAGACCCTGGATCCTCAGTTAAACGTGCATGAAATCAGTGTTACATTCTCTGTGTTGCACTTCACACATTTTGCTTAGCAGGTGTTAACTAAAATGATCTAATAAACCTCGAGTATAATGAAATGAGTCTTGTTCAGCATTTAATAATTTTATCAACCTGGTTTCTGCTTGATATGAATTTTCTTTTACAAGACATTAGGGCACGAGATGAGATTGTAAGCCTGTGAGCAGAAAGATGCATGTTTTCCTCCAAGATGATTAGATGTTGCTGTTAAATTGTCCAAGATTAATTTGACTATCACGCTAATAAGCAAATATGATAATCCTCAATAGTTCTTATCACTGTGGATTATTTTAATTACTGTGGCTAAAGGCATAGAACCTTATTATTTTAGTAACTAACTGAAATATTTCTATGTGATCCACCTTCTTTACTCTATTTCAGTGTATTTTGTAGCACAGCATTTGAATTATACCTCAATATACGTGCCTGCAGGCTGTGCCTGCCCCAGCCTTCTCTGGGCTCTGAAATCCAATCCTTCCTCTTTTCAATTGCAAATCACGTTTTCCCAAAGCTCTGATTATTCTCATTGTCCTGAGCTGGACTCCTCCAACTCTTTTCTGGGGGTACAGAAAACTTCACACCCCATTCCAGCAAAATCCTTTCTCAGTGCTAAGTGCTGCAGGATGACTCATGTTTTGGATGTGCTGCTGTCTGGAACCTCCCTGAGGGATATTCCCTTTTACTCCAACAGCATGACGTTGGTAACTGGTGTCACTTTGCAAGCTGCTCTAACTTCTGGGTCTTTTTCTGTAGAAAATATGTGCTTCAGCCAGTGCTCGTGAAGCTGGTAATTCCTGCTGAACATCAGGATGTTTTTTCCCCTGCTTGCTGAATTATATATTATTGCTTCTCTCATTTGTCAAGGTTGTTTTGGATTTGAATCCCCCTCGCAACCTGACTGCAATTCTTTTCCACCTTCGTGTCAAAGCCTGCGAATTTAACAACCAAAATCTCCAGTCAACCACTGGATCACTAATGAAATACTGAGTAGTACAAAACAGAGTCAGTCTCCTGTGCAACACCACTCAATCTATCCTCTGAGTTTCCACAGTGAAACTCCAGTAATTACTTTCTGAGTGTCATTTCCTGACAAGTTCTCAGCTCTGCTGGAGCAGGAGTGTCCATGCTGGTCTGTTAAGTGGTGATCGAGGGAGAATTCGAAGTGTTTTCTTTATGTGAGACCTATAAAACGTCAGTTTTTCAGGGGGGAAATGTTAAGGCTTTGAGATTCTTCAATATGGTGATGTTTACAATATTAAAAGTAGGTGAAGTAGTTGGTATTGTGCACTGTGCTGTGGACACCAGTTTACATTTTAAGTTCCTAAATATTTTCGAGAATAGCTCTTTGAGATTTCTTTATGTTGTTATAATCACTCTATACCTTTATACCAATAAGAAATGAATTACAGGAAAATGTCTTCAGGCTCCTCCAGCTCCTACTGGAAGTGACAGAATTTCCAGTGGTTTCAAGGAAATCAAGCCACTGTTTGATGAATACCTTCTTCTTTGGATAAATGTTGACAGATACTATTCAGCCAGATATAGACCTGAACAAATAATGCAAAACATTATTACAGATGGATAATTTATGTGATGAATAGCAGCTCTGCTTGACAAATAATTTTAGTCTATCTCTAGGACAGGCTACAAAAGATGGTATTGCCACATCAAAATATCACATCAGTCACCTGTACTGACATCTCATGTAAATGGCAAATTAAGACCTTTCAGATACCAAGTCATAGGGAACAGCCACTCCCCCCTAAATAAATGGGAGCACTCTGCACTCTGGGCCAAGTCCAAACCTGATGAAAGTGAATATATTAGGAGATGAAAGTTGGTAACACCAAACTGGAACTTTGAGACAATCCAAGTTGTGTCCATTGTTGTTACAATCACTTCAACATGTAGGCAGAGTGAGTTCAGCATAAACTATTTTAAACTAAGTCAGTGCCTTTGATTTAACAAAAAATAAAAAGTGTTTTCTTTGTAAGCACATCTTGGAAAAGGAAGTTGCTACTCTAAATTTCATCACAGGTCAATCACTGCATTACATCCCAACACTTACTTTTAAGCTTTTCTACTCTACTTGCTTTGCAGAAAGTGCTGTGCACTGTAGCTGGGAGGCACTGAGTCAACAGAAAATCCCCAGGAGGCTTTACCTCACAGACATTTTATCCTGCTATTCTGGATAGAAACCAAAATTTTCTATTATTGAAAGCTGTATTGAAAAAACAGACTCCAAAATGAATGAAAACATGACCTGGCGCTGGTTAAAAGATGTGAGGTGTGTATGCTAATCCAGGATATTTCTGGCTGTGTGGACAACGCTAGCATTCAGATCTATGCCCAGAAGTTCATGAGATCTCTGTAAAGCAACATGTAGCCACTACTTGACCTTTTTCTCTTGTATTGAGCCCCCTTGGAGCACTGACCCAAGAAGGGCTAAAAGGGAGATGCTGTGGAGCACAGAGCATGAGGAACAGGCTCCCTCAGTCCAGCCCTCCCTTCTGGGACCCTGCACAGCCAGGAGCTGCTGTGTCTGTTGCTCCTTGCAGCGAGCAGATGAGGATGTTCAACACTCTTAATGTTTAATCAGGACAAGTGTAAGGAATCCTTAACAGCAAAAAGCTTCACTAGACTTGAATAAAAATCACTCCTCATTTGTACAGGCAGCAGGATTTCTGCATGACTTGGTTTTGTTGTCACAGGAAATGATAGAGCTGGGTGCACATGAGCTGTGATCTTCTCCTAAGTGAAGCTGAAATAATGCCTCACGAGCTGTGCCGGTGTTTGCAATAACTGTGATCCTGTGCAGGGCTGACTGAACACCACAGTTCTGGCTTTACATCTCCATAGGTGCACGTGCACATCTTCCAGGAGTATTTTTGCTTTAGATTGCTGTCATATTATGATGATTCAGTCAGGCTGGTCCACAGAACAAGAATAAGCTGAGTAAAAGCCGTGTAGCTCAAATTCCTCCATAGGTAGCGAAGGGAAAGAGTCATCAGATAACAAGGCAGGTTGAATTGTCCCCCTGGAGAAGCGCAGGTGTCTCAGGTGAGTGCACAGGAGTCACAGCCATCCTGTGGTCACCTGGAGGGTGTGAACCAGGGTGTATTAAAGGCTGAGAGTCAGAAAGAAGAGGCAGAGGAACGTGTTTGCTGTCTTATCCTTGAGCAGTTACCCATGTGCCTTGCTCAATCAGCTGTGAATGGCTCAGATGACATGGCTTTAACCCTTCTTTCTTGATTTAGGCTCAGGAAGGTCAGGGGATCTTTGTGGAGTCATTACAGTGATGTTTCCACAGCGTGGAGACTACATGCAAAACCTTCCAGGATGTCCCCTGAGGGCTCCTGTGAGACTGTGCTGGGTAAATGGAGAGGGGCAGGAACCCTGGAAGGGCTCATGTGCAGTGCTGTGTTGGCAGCTGCCCAAGAACAAGCCAGAAATCTCCTGTCTCACCAGTAAACATGTTTTATACCATGTCTAGGCCAAAAATATAAAAACCTCACCTCTCATTCCAGAGAATGTCTGGAGCCCCACACTCTTCCTTCAATTGTGAGTGTTGATTTTTCTTTTGAACCACTTGCATGGCTGTGCTGAATTTTGGGTGGGTGATGAAAATGTAATCTGTGTTAAACAAGCTACTTTAACCTGGCAGGTAAATGAATGCATTATTAACACAATCTCATGAATTTCCTTAATGTGCCTGCTTTATAATAGAAGCTTTTAATTTTTTTCTAAGTTTTGTGAACCAGCCTTGTATAAAAACATTCTGCTTGGGTGGCCCAGTTACATTCTATCAGGCAACATAGCACAGACTTAGTGGCATTTTGGTGGATAATAGGACAAAAGTTTTTTTCTTTTAGGAAAAAAATATAACCAAAACAAACACAAGAATGAACACTACAAAAATCTTGTCATGCTGAGAGAAAAGCACCACAAATACACAGTGATAAAGGTCAGGATCTCTTACTCAAGTCTTGTTTGCAATTGAAAATACCATGTTAATGTCTGGCTGTCAAAAACCTAAGTGAGCCAAACAGACTTCTGACAAATAATTTTGACAGTTCTCATAAGCTGAAAAGTGCCTTTTTTGCCTCTCTTGTCTTTTGAAATGTTTCCCTCCTGCAGAGAGAAAGAGAGTTAACAGAGGTAGTAAAACAAGAGGGTGCTGTTAAAAACAACCTCCCCCAAGCACTGCCTTGTGTGCTGTCTGGGGAATTGACTCTCTCAGTTCATAACTACCCTCCCTGAATTTGAAATACATAGAACTATTTGTTTCTCTCCTGTAAACATTGTTTTCTTCATCCATTATTAAGGAAATTAAGAGATGTTCCCTGTTGCTTTCATGTCTTGGGCAGAATTTTATTCTAGTCTAAAGGAGACTTTGGTGAAGGTAAGGAGAATGAAGAGTTGAGTACCACATAGAACCAAACATGCCTTCCTTTCTGCAATTTTCTTAAAAGGAAAAATATATTAGAAATAAAATTTGAAAAAAATTGTCATCCTGCTGCAAAAATCTTTGAATCCTTCTCCATGCAAAAAGGCCTAACAGGCAAAAATACTTTACAACTTCCTCTCAAGAGCTGCTATTCTGAATAAACAGGATCTTGCATTTTAAAGCTGGCAGAGCTTAGCCTTAAGGAAACTATATTTTTCAATTCAAATATATCCATACTCCTGTTTACTCACCCAGAGCCTGCTCGGTGGGGAATTATCTTGTTAAGATCTAATCCTACACGGTGCAAGTGAGGTTGTAAATATATGGCCATTTAAAATTCAAATACTGAGTGTGGAGGTCATTGTAGGAGCCTCCTGTGCCTCTGCAAGTGTGAATGAATTATCAGGCTGCTTTCATTCTTCCCTCACTGTTCACATTACTGTTTGCAGCTGGGAGCTATGCCATAAGTTACCTTTAGATTAGCACTGAAAATTCCCAGGCTTTAAAACCAAAATATTTCTTTTACTCCCAGTTTTGTTTGTGGGCTGTAAAAACAGTGGGTCTGTTGGTCAGAAACTGGTTCAGATTTCAGAAATTTGGCAGGTTGTGTGGTTGGCTGCTTAGCAGAGGATGCTCCATCTGTGGAGCGACGTAGGCATAGGCAAAGCAGGGGCAGGTCCCTCACGAGTTCCATCTCTTTCCCAAACCTCCTGCCCTTCCTCTTGCTCCTGCACAGCCTGGGGTGGGCTGTTTGCCTGGATGTCCACCTGGAAGAGTTTGAAAAGAATGATTTGAAAGGAGGACTTTATGGCAGTAACTCTTCTCCTGGTGGTGAAGTCGTTCTCCCTGGGAAGGGAACGTTGGATGTTGTAGCTAATTGAGCAGTGGAGCTACTTGATAAAATATCATAAGTTTCTGAGCTCTGGTGGTAAAACCTACACACTCCTTTCCAATTCCCAGTTCTGCTGCTGTTGAGGAATGGCTGTCACACACGGGAGTCTGTCTCAAAGGAAGGTTTATTCCTGCTGCAAAGTCTGTGAAAGAGCTTTGCCAGTGGTGTGGCAGCTGTAGCTCTGGGTCTCTGGTGACTCCACCTGCCTTTTTAATTTGTTTGATTCCTGTTTGCCATTTGCCTGGTTCTCTCAAGAGTGACAGAAATTTGTGTGTAGGCTGATTGGCAGCACATGAAGCTGTTTTGGTAAAAGAAAGGGGAAGTGTAACACCGGCTTGTTAACGTGGTTCACTAAACTCACGTGACAGCTGCACCTCCTGCTACCAACAACAATTTACCTCCTCTTCACCCTGAAAATTTCAAAATGCTCCTGATTTTTCTTTCAGATTATCTTGTACACAGGACTTCACACTCTGGCTAAGACACAGGAGAGCATGTAAAATCGATGTTTTCACTTCTTGCCAGACTCTCTAACTAAAAAAGGTTTCCCCCTGGCAGTTTTTATCTCCAGGTGTTACCACCCCATCCCCTAAAATTGTAAAAAACCCTGTATATTTGCTATCTTGTGGGTTTTACCAGGTTTCAAAGGGAGATTCTATTTGCTGGGCAGGTTATCGATAGAACATAAAATATGAATGAAATTGTAATTTTATGGCAGACACTGGAGCTGTAACTCTGTGTCCTCCACAGCCTGATGAAAAAGCAGTCTCTAAAAACATTTAATTGACTTTTTATTTTCCAGTTAAGCCAGGAGAAGATCCTCAAAATTATGAACATGGTGAAAAATAAAGAAGTGAGCATTGAGGGGGCTCTGCATTTGGCACAGAAGGAGGTGTATGCTGAGAAGGTAAGGTCACTCCTCTGATCTATTTTGCAAGATATTCAAATGTATGAGCATTAGGAGCCTGTCTGTGTTGTTTTCAAAGATACAATCCCAGCTTGTGCAAACACATGCACTCAAGTTTCTAACAAAATAGGACAGGTACTAATGGCTAATGATACCTGTGTCCTATGTAATGGATATTCCATGTAGATGCTGCAAGAGGGGCAGGAACACCTTCCACTAGACCAGGTTCCTCAGAGCTTCTTCCAACCTGGCCTTGAACACTTCCAGGGATGGAGCAGCCACAGTTTCTCTGTTCCAGGGTCTCACCATGCTCATAGTGAAGAATTTCTTCCCAATATCCCATCTAACCCTACTTCTGTCAATTTGAAGCCATTTCCCCTTGTTCTGTCACTCCATGCCCTTGCAAATAGTCTCTCTCCATCTTTGTTAATGATGATTAAAAAGGCCAGGAGGATGCTGCCATGTATCTCCATGTGGAATTCTTCTCCAAAGCCTCCAGAGCTGTTTAAACACTGTCTACTGAGTGACATTTCACCTGAGAACGTGTTTGGATTTGTGCTGGATGTACTGCTGATTTCTGTTCTGTTTTACAGGATTCCCAAGATTTGTTAACTGGATCACAATTTAACTTCATTATCTACAAACACAAGCACTATCGGTGGCAGAAACGAATTTTGCAGGTAACTTGGAAAATTGTCCCTTTTGGAGCAATACATAAAAAGGTATCATGTTTAAGTTGATGGGTAAATGTTAGGAGATAGCTTAAAAAAATCTTGTGGTTCAGCAGCCCATCAGAGAGGTATAAGATAGTGAAAAAATTCTCTACTTTTTATACCAGAAGTGTTCTGGGGGTAATATCTGACATTCCCTGTACTGAGGCCCCTGGGAGGGCTGTGGAAGGGACCTGATGATCTAAGAGGTTATTTCACCTCTGCAAAACATGAGTTGTCCCCAGGCTGATGGATGATAGTGGGCTCTGCCTGGGAGTTGTTCTTATTAACTACCAAGAGTAAATGCACACAAGTGATGTAAACACACCTAAATATCTGTGCCTTTTGACAGGACATCGCTTCCACTGCACCCCCTAAAACCTTGGGAAGAAATGTTCCTGGGATACTCAGAAGGTGCATTTGGCAGACTGTGCAGCTTGTCTCTGGTTACTCTACCCTGTGAATCGTTTTTTTTGATATCATGAACCCTTAAGGCTTTATTGACTTGCATGATATTAAAGCAAAGTTGTGTTGACAACACCTGATGGTGATTTGATTTCATGAAGTCAGGGACAAAGGGTTCATGTTGTTTCCAGGAACCTGGATTTCACTGCATTTTCCTGGAGTTTTGACAAAATTTAAAAACAAGCAGGTCCAAATCATACATGCTAGAGGGTATTTTTTATTTACTACGTCCGAACTGTAAAAAAGTATAATCTCCTTATTTCCCTCAACATCCACCACATTTTGGAATTAAAAGATTGTTTCTTTAGGCATAAAACTGATGGAAAAAATAGAGAGAGCTGTAGTAGATGTCGAAGTTATCAGTCTGGAAATCGAGAGTCATTTAATTTCAGTTCTCTAGTTACCAGCAGCCTTCAAAAGTCAGAGATAATAATGAGAATGGTTCTGCTGTGAAGGTTTCCAGCTATAAACAGAAGGCAGGGAAAGGCCACAGTGTGGGCATTTGGTTGGTATGGTCAGCACATACAAGTTTTTAATCCTGCAAATACAGATTGTGCAGTGGAATAAGAATGATATCATCTTGAAGCAAACAATTTTTAATTGTTATAGCTATGAAACTGCACTGAAGTAATTTTATTGGCTATTATTACTCCCTTCATCTATTTGTACACATATATATGTATGTAAATAGAGAGAAAGGGATTTTTTTACTTGGGCAGGTAGTACCAGAACACAGGGGAATTGGTTTTAAACTAAAAGAGGAAATTATTTACTCAGAAGGTGATGAGGCCCTGGCACAGGTTGCCCAGAGAAGCTGTGGCTGCCCCATCCCTGCAAGTGTCCAAGGCCAGGTTGGACTGGGCTTGGAGCAACCTGGGATGGGGAAAGTTGTCCCTGTCCATGGCAGGGGGTGGAATGGGATGTTCTTTAAGCTCCTTTCAACCCAAACCATTCTGTGATTCTGTGGCAAAAAACTCTGCTTTAGGTAAGATCTAAATCAAAGCACAGTAATATTTATATCAGAAAGTAATCCCTCAACAGTCTCCTCTTCTCCTGGACTTGGAAGCTGCTGCTATAATCACCTTCACTGCATTTCAGTACTGGGGCAGAGGCTGAAGGAGTTAATTGAACCTCTGCTGAGATGATCCTGCCATTAGTTCGTGCTACCACTGCTGCTGAATGGGAAGATTCTGCACTGGGTTGTATGAAACAAGGGGAATTTAAAAAGAAGTAATATTTCAGAGTGATAAATCAATTCATATTCATCAGAAGACACAGGGAAACACAGCTACAATGAATATCTGTTTTGTAACTAAAGCAAATATTGTACAGTATCTTGATGATGGAATGTCATTTTTTTATCCTATTTATTCTGAGCTTGTCCTTTCCCTAAATGCCTTTGCATGGGGATATTGGGGTGTTTTCTTTGCCTTTCAATTACAAGAAGCGATGGAGTCAAGTAATGAAGAATCTTCTATTCCAGATTGATTTCAACACAAGGACCATTTTTAACATCGAAAAGGGAATTATTAAGAAACAGTTCCCTTTCTCTCAAGTCAAAGCCTGCGAAGACACTGAAAGGAGGCGCTTCAGCATTGTGTTTCATGGGAGACAAGATTACGAGCTGGAAGCTGTGTCTCTTGATGATAAAAGGAAGGTAAGTTTTTACAATGCCATAGACAGATTGCTATAAATAACAGTTGATGTGCTGGTGGTAGCCAGCAGCTCCCAATCATTGTTACACTGTGCTTTGTGCAAGCAAAAAAAAGGAGGAATGTCTTTATTCCGTGTGTGTTTGTGCACAGAACAAAGGGAATGGGAGTTCGAGATAAACTTTGGCCTTAGGATTTGGGCACAGTTCAGTAGGACTGGAGATGTAAAGCCAGCTCAAGACACGATGTGAAAGTGGATGCAGTTCTGCAACTACACCTTGAATGTAACCCCTCTGAGAGTGTATGAAAATAAGCAAAAAACCCCTGATGATGTGCACAGTTGAATCTTAATTGAAACTTTCTAAGCACTTTTTATTCTCTGTATAAGGTATTTCTTAAAATGCCTGCTTTTAAGAATGAACAAGGTCATCCTGATGCTGTGAAAAGAAGACCTAGTAATTCATCTTTTACCATCAAAAGAAACTGAAATGACACAATTAGCAGAGGAAGGAAGGCTAGGCACAACTAATTGCTTAATTAAATGATTCAGTGTTGCAAGATTTTGTATGAGCTACCTCACTTTGAGATTTCAGCTCCTTTTGAGTTCTACTGAAACATGAGAAAGTCAAGTCACGAGGTTTTTATCTGAATGCAGGTGTCCAGGGGAGGGCAGCTCTTGGAGTTTGTGTCATTGAAGCTACCTGCACAATTTAGGCTGAGGTACAAGCTTTAAACCTCATGGAAGAATTTGCATCCCAACTTCTGCTGTGACTCATTTTTATAGGGCTTTTTTTTTCAGAAGGATTAATTCCCTGTGAAACTCTGCCATTGACCCCACACGCAGAAACCTTTCTTCCAGATGAGCAGAACCTTGTGGCTGATTAGCTTAATTTTCAGTTTAATAATTCAAAGATTATTAAGCAGAAGAGTTCAAAAAGAAACGTATTTAGTCATAAGAAGATCATATATGGCCCTGTACAGCACAAAGAGCTCTTTAAATTCACACCCAACCTTAATCCATAATATTTTCCACTGGAGCCAAACCTTCATTTTTTACTGGGTTTGTCTGAGGCTTCCAGCTAAATCAATCAGGTGCTGCTTGGGTTTGAACTGATCTGAACAGACACTTTGTCCTAGGTTGCTTTGTGTATGAGTAAAGTTTTACAGTAATCCCTCCAAAATAAAATTGCATTCTCCTTACAATGATGGGTTTAGAATTGTGGGCATAAAGCCAAATTGCAATTAAGTAGTTTAGCATCAATTATTTATTTTATGTTCATTTATTTTACCTATTTGGCTGCAGCTTAGAGTTTTGCCTGTTATCTTTGTACTTGAAAAATCCAGCTACTGATGTCTTATTCAATGGAATTAACATGGAAAGTATTCTCTCTCTGCTGCCACTTTTTATCTAGATAATATACCTCCTGAGCAGAGTTTTACAGAGCAATTCATGCAAGAGACCAGTGGAGTCCTGCTCTGGGAGACCTGCAGAATGTGATGTGATACATGAAGGGCTGCTGGATTTACAGCAAAACACTTTTGCATCCACTGAATGGGTGAAGTATGAACTCAGGGCTGTGGATTTTGTTAAAATTTCCGATAAATGCATTAAGACTCTAATTTGCTGATAATAAGTTAATTATTTAATTGCTTTTGAAAGTTAAAAGGTGGATGGCAAATCTGCATGAGATGGAAACGTTGAAATGAACTTCCAGTGCAATATTGGTCCCAACAAACCAAAGTTCTGGTGTGTGCTGGGTCCATTAGCAACACAAATCTGTAACGGTGATGGTGCTCAGAGGGATTTTAATGGTGGGACTTAGAGAGGGGAGAAAAAAAATCTGTCTAGCAAAATCCAATGAAAAAATGAGCATTGTAATTATCTGCACGGGGCAATTATCTCAATACCCTTCACAGAAAATGATTTTAATTGTTTTTAAAAGGCTACGCCTGTATGTCTTGTAAACACCAGCCTCAAGTGTGTCCAGGATTTGTTACCTTGCAACACTTAACAAGTTTGTTAACAAACAAAAATTGATTTTTATTTATCTTGTGAAGCAAAGCCCTTGTTGTTTTCTTCTTTATTTTAATCCTATCTCTTTTTTTTTCCTTTTTTCTTTTATTTCAAAGTAAATAATGGTGGAAACATCCGGAGATCCGATTAAACTATAAGTCTCTGACTTAAAGAAAGAAGAGATCAATATAAATGCCAGCTCCATTAAACAATTCTTATCACTTTGACTGTTTATGTGGGAATAGATGCAATTTATATTTTATGTTTAATTCTTCTGGAGCAGCTAAACTTATTTAAATTCCTCATAGAATACCTTAATCAACCAGCCACACCTTGAAGAGAGAGTGGAGGAAAAGGAAGGTTTGATAGAACTGTCAGAATGATAAAGAAAGGCAGAAATCCTCAAGAAAAATGAGAACACAAATGCTTAAATAAGAATAAAACCCACATACAGTAAAACCCTGCCTGTTGTTGAATGGGGGACCTTTGTTCTGAGCAGCAGAACAGAATCCCAGAGGGGAGACTAAAGCAGAAGGTTCTGCTGTGATACAAGCTGTGTGTGGTCAAGGCAGTGTTTTTCCAGGATTAATTTATCATTTAAATAGGTTTTACCCAAATTTTGGCACAGTAGTTTCTGATGGAAGCCCTTGAGCCTTGTCCATTTCCTGCCAAGTGACTTGTGGGACCAGCATGAGCTTCCCTGGAGTAACAAGGATTTCCAAGAGGGAGGGATATTGGACTGTATGACTGAGAACTAAATTTGGTGACTTGTTTATGGCTTGGGGGCAGTGAAACCTGGAAGACAAAGAAGCTCTGAAGCCTTGTCATATTATGCACTGCTCAGACACACAGTGGGTTCCTTTAGGAGCTCATAGTCCAAATGATCCACTCTCCTAAACAAACAAGAGGAATAAGTGGAGTGGGAGGGACAGAGCATGGCAAAAAAATTAACAGGACTTGGGTGATTTTTAGTTGATGGTCAGATCTCAGTTTTAGCTCTCACAGGGCATGGCAGGCTGTTCACAGTTGCTGTCAGTTTACTCATGTGTCAGATGAGAATAAGAAGCCCTCCAATAAGAATAAGAATATCTCAAAGGTTTTATGCTTTAGCATTGATACTTTTTGCCTGTTCCGGGGAAGATGCTATAAAAATCTGGAGATTTATTGATTTTAGGAAGTGCCCTAACAAAAGCAGGGCTTGTGTAACTAAGTAGTCAATGAAGAATGAGCTGTATGTCCATTCCTTGTCCTTCAGGTGCTTGGTGCAACTACGTGAAGGAGAATTGACTTTATATTGCATAACTCTGGGAGGAAAGCACAGGACTGCAGACCCTGGAGCAAACACAATTCATCTGTCAGGTGGTGATGTGAGTGTCAGCAAGGAGAATGGATGCAGCACCTTTTCAGTTCAGACCAAAGATCACAATTATTTGTGAGTATAGTTGGTAATTAATAATTTATTAAAGCAGAAGTACTGAAAACAAGGTCAAGCAGCTGAGGATCTCAGTGTCTCAGAATAAAATAACAATATTGGAGAAATGAGGCCATCAGAATTATATAGATTCCTGCTCCTATTGCTCTGCAGTGATTTGATGAGGATTTTAATGAGGAATTAAAAGGACCACATCATGGAACTGAGAAGACAAGCTGAAATACAGCCCACAGCAACTTCTCTAGGTGTCACGTCAGGAGCCAGGGAAGAGGAGGTGCACGTTCAGCTTGGTAGGACAGATGTGTGAGCAGGTTCTGCTTGTGCAACAAGCACAGCAAGGTGTAACAAGTTGTTCACCTTCCCCCAGGGTAGAGAGGAGGAATTATGAGGTAACTGCACTGCAAAGTCAATATATGGCAAAACTTCAGCTCTCTAACCTTAGACACAAAAGCAATTAACTCTCTCTGAAAAGGTCAGAGTCAGCAGCACTGGGCTGCTTTGACAAGTAAAGCTGCTGAACATCATTCTGCTTAAATCAGAACCATCTGTGGCTGTGTTATTCAGCATGTTATTTACACTGCCTCGTGTTTATATATGACATTCTTAAATTTCAGGTTTCGAATACCCTTTACTGTCCAAAACAGCAGACCAGAGGATGTTGGCAAGCTCCAAAATGAATGGGTGTCTCTCCTAGAAAGGTACTGTCAGCTGGGCCAGGAGGCCTCCCTGCCTCAGGAGGGATCTCAAGGATGCACCTCCCCTGAAGCTGATTATGAAGAATTTATTGTACCCCTGAATGAAGAGAAAGAGGAGACTTTGCACTTTGGTGTGAGTTCTGCAAGGACCAGTCTGAACAAGTCTCCAAGACCTCAGACAAAGCCTGCAGAGGGGGAAGCAGCCCCAGCATCATCATCTCTTCCACTTCCCATAAGTAAGGCAGAGGTACCCCCAGCCCCTCCTGCCCTTCCACAGCCCTGCAGCCTCTCTCCAGCAGCAAAGAGAACCAAAGCCTTTCACTGGGATGTCGTTCCTTGTGATAAGGTGAGGATGAAACTGATGGTGGCTGTTAAAGAAAAGCAAAAATGATGTACTGTATTACATCTATAGTTATAAAAGTACAGCTGTGCCACAAAATGACCTGCATGCCCTTCTCTGTGTTTGGATGGAACAAAGTGCCTCTGCTCTGGCTTTCTGTTTACCCTCTGTCACTCCTATATTTTTAGATTCACAAATCTGTCTGGGGATCATGTGACCCATGCAAGAAGAAAATTGATGTATCCAGACTCTGTGAACAGTTCCAGATCCAGGACACAGCAGTATTTTTGGGCAATGAGCCCTCAGTGAATCAGCACATCATGTTAGACCGAAAAGTCGCGCATAACTTCAGTAAGTGTGTTAATAAGAACTGTGTCCTCCTCTATGAGCTGGGCTGAACACTGCATACATCTTCTGTTTGTACTTCCTGCCATTCAGCAGGCAGTGAGACAAACTTCTGGATCACGTTTTAATTCAATGCCCCTCTGGTGATTTATAAAAGAAGACCTCATGGCTGAGTTGCTCCAAATGTGGTCCCTAATGATGTAGAGGTGAAGCCCAAAGCTTTGTCTCTTCTTGTACAAAACATGTGGTTGTGCCATTGAGCTGTGATGTTGTTGTCTTAGGGCAGACATGTGAAATCATGTATGTCACCTGTGAAATCAAGGTAAGACTGACTTCAGAGGCTTTTCAAATTCTGTGGGTTGTTCAGGTGAAGAAAAGTCAACAGGAGCAGGTTGGGAGCCAGAACTTTGAGTGCTGTGCTCAGTCTCTCTCCTGCATTGTGGTCAAGAAATTTGTTTAGGTGGGTTGGTATAAGAGGCCTTTGAGGCAGCTCCAAGCCAGGTTTCAGGAATTCTTGGCCTTTTTCTGGCTGAGGGCTCAGGCTGTGAATGACTGTCTTGAACAGGACCCTTTTGTCTCATATCCCAGGTAGGATTCTACCAAGGACCTGACCTAGAAGAGTCTTTCACAACTAAGGAAGGAGTTCAGCACATAGTTCTGCTCTTCCGAATAAAATGATATAAAGGTCTTTCCATCCCTTTAATGAGAAGTGGTAGATATTAAAGGAGCAAGAGTAATTGTTCTTCAAAGACCACTCTGATTTCTGTTACAGAAATGGCTTTCCCAAAAAGTTCTATAACCTAGAGATGTTTTAAGAAGTGTTACATGTGTAAAGAATTTGGGGCAGTTAATTTTGAAGTTTTAATGATTTCTTCTCTATGAATATTAATGAGCAAGAATGTATTGTGGAGATCCTGTAAAGTTTTAATTGGGAACTTTAAATGGGGATAACTTGGAATTATTGCATCCCTTGACTAACAATTTGAAGGGTTAAAAGGAAGAGAGAGATACAGAAGTGCTGTTGCAGATAAGAGGATCTTGTAATAGCACTTTTATCTACTAAATTATTGGAGTTTCTTTGAGGAAATTTTTTTCTTTTGGTTTGCAAATAGCACCATTCCTCCTTTTGATCCAGTTCCTCTTACAACTATTTTTTCAACGGGACGTTTTACATCCGTTTCTTAATCTTATCCTTAAAAGTTCCATCAGTGAGATTTTTGACATACACTTATGATAATGGATGTTACTTAGATCAAAAGTTAATTTGATCCTGAGAATTCTGATTAATCTTCCTGCAAGTGCTGCAAACTGCAGTTCTTAAATTAATGAATAAAAGGATGAAGCTCCAAAATTGCCAGTTGGTTAAAATTTCTCGAGAATTTGAGGGGGTTTCTGAGCACAAGAGAGAAATGAGAGTTCTGAGAGTAGATCTACACACTAAATTCAAGTCCAGTGTGTGAGAAAATACAAATAAAATAAAATAAAAATTCTCCTTCACAATCACCTTTTGCTGCTCAGAGGATTTCTGATGTAGAGACTCCAGGGCAAGTCTCGTGCCAGCAATGGGAAGCCTTTAAAGATTGTCCCTTTCTCTGCTGCTGCCCTTTGTTCACTTCCTTGTGATTCCTTTTTTTACCTGCATCCTTCAGCATCATTGAGGGAGAGATACAGTAATTAAAGAATAACTGGCAAGGCAAAGTGGTCTTTTTGGGAGCTACATCCTTACAAATTTGTACTTGCCTAAATAATGACCTTCACCTCTTCGGGGAAGAGGCATTTTATTTGCATTTTCCTGTCATAATGCATGTTATGAGCCAGCCCTGTATCAGCACAGAAGTCTTAAACATTACAAAAACTCTTAATCAGATTTTAGGATTTCAAGAAGAAGTGAGCACTTCTGTTTCCCAGTCTGCCTTCATTTTGGGAGTAAGTTTTCCTGCTGGAAATTAAACAGAACAAGTAAACAAAGTCAAAACAAATGGAAGATGTAATTCCTTTAACCTTCAAAATACTATGCCAATGTATTGCACTGTTATTTGGAAAAGAATGATTTAAACTGTTGAGCTGAATACAAGAGAAATATATATGAGAAAGTACTGAGTACCTTCCAAAAATGGTATCTTGGTAGTTCTGTCTTAAGCACTGACTATCTCATGAAAGAAATTTGGTTTTCCTTGACTAATGTTATGTGAATTTAAAGAAAATACAAAGACTGACTGACTGACTGACTTATTGCTTTAATGACAGCAGCTGTGAAATGTTTTGGGTTTTCTTTTCCTGTTTGTTTGTTATGGTTTTTTTCTTTCTCTCTCTCTTTTTTTTTTTTTTTTTTTTTTAAATTTTAAATCTGATAAGTATAGATGAAATATTTTGGTGGTTTTCCTTCCAAGTAATCTAAGAATCCTTTTCCTCCAGACATTTTTCTTAAAAGTTTCCGTATCAAACCAAGTGAGCTGAAAGAAAAACTGTACATCATCCATGAAGAGAGTGGTGGACTCACAGATGAGCAGATTACAGCACTAAGGAGGTAATTTGGGGAGTTTAATTGTTTGTTTATGTTTTATGTCACCTTTTTGGAGAAGGCAGAACCTTCTGCAAATAATGTGCAGTTCGGGGATGGACTGAGACATTGGATTTCTCCTGACTGTGGATATTGATTTACACACAGAAATCAGTCCTTGCGACTGAGATTTTGAGTACAGCCCCAAAATATCACTTTTCCCCATGTTTGTAGGAAAGGTGATTGCAAAGTGATGGCAAATCCACTATGATTTTGTGAACTAGTTACAAAGAGCAGAGTTAGGAAAATAATAAGTTGTGTCAGTGAGCAGGTGTTAACTGGAGAAGACTTTGCATCTTCTCTTGCTACAGCCTTACAACCTATTGTGGGATGAGAAATGAAAGATTTAAGACTGGTTTGGAGACAAGGAGGGCAGACAAGTGTTAAAGGAACTTTATGAGGTGATGGGGTGTTAAGAATATCAGTATGGCAGAGATTTGTGGGTTTAAAACAGAATGCAAATTTCTGTATCTGTAGCAAAACCGAACAGATTTCAGGGTTGTAATCAAACTATATGAAACTCATAGGAACTGCATTGTGTCTTTTTGAATAGTTTAAGACATAGAAAGAAAGGAAAGAAGGGGGATCCTAGAGTAGTATCTGTTATAACATTCTAGGGCCCATGTGCTATTTGGGCCACTTTAATAAACATATTCACACATGAAAACTTGATGTGAAACTGTTTCTTGCTTCAAAATGAGAAAAGATTTGAGTGTTTTGCTAAAGTGAACTGGAAAAAAGATGAGGCAGACAAAGAAAGCGAGGATGTAAATAATTAACATTTCTACTTCTCATGGAATCAGTTTAACTTTGGCCTTAAAATCCTGATCCAAATCAGTACATCAGGAGTAATTTTAAAGTCTGCAGGATCATGTGTGCACTTAGGAAGTGTGAGCAGGAAGAAGAGGCAGGTAACATAGAATTAATGTAGTTCTGTGACATGGCTTGTGCAGAGCTTGTCTCAGGTGTGAAGGGACATGGGCAGGATGCTGAATATTTACATGTTTTTTATGTCCCAGTGTTCTGGAGGAAGTTTCCTTGCTGCCCCAGTGCTTTGCCAGTTATACCCCACACTGAGCCATGATTATGGGCTGGGGAAAGATGCATGGCCCCACTGAGGGTGATGGAGCTCTGCTGCCATTCAAAAACTGGTCTGAAAGGCTCCTTCAAAAAGAGAAACATCTTCCTGCAGTGCTGCAGGTTCAGTCCAGGATCTCCACACTCCTGAAACCAGTGTGATAGCACTGAGATCCCTGATTTACAGCATCTGGGCTCCTTGCCATCAGACAATGACAGCAATAATGATGGCAACGAAGCTTGAAAGATCCTATTTTTTTCCTTGAAGTCTTTCTTTGAGAGCAATAATGCTGAGGAAATTCCTCCAGCAATGGACTGTGTAAGAGATATTGGATGCTGTATTTGCTGTGTGTTATATAGCTTCAAGGATTCAAGCTATGGGTTCAAGGATTCTGTCCCTGGGATTCTTATTTATTGCCAAAATCTAGGAATGCATGTACAAATCTTGCAGTGAAAGGGAGATAATTTTTTTCCAACCTGGCAGTTTTAAGTGTGAGTGAAGTAGATGAGATGCATCTCAGAATTAAGGCTCGGATTTCCAAGTGGAAAATCAGAGGAGCAGGCAGACATTCTCATGGAACATCAGCACTCCCAAGTCTCTCTGGTACAAAGCACTGTGGTGGATTTAGCAGGACAGTTAGCACTTCTGAAGACCTTTCCACTTGATTTAGTTGTCATTTAGGTGTCAGTTTTACCTTTGAAAGCTGTGGCCTCCAGTCAGTGGAGAACCTGTGGTCAGGATGGGAGTTCAAACAGGATAGTCCAGGGCTGGAAAATCCCTCTCTGTGCAGATTGTTCCTGTCAGACTGTCTGAGCCTGAGCAGGAAGTTGAAATTCTACTATTATAGAATAAAAAATATTTAAAGTCAAACCCAAGATTACATTTTCAAGACAGTGACCAGAATGCTCTGCTCATGTATCCAGTGGTGGGATATTATTAGAAACTTCAGGACTTAATTTGATACGGAAAACTTTCCATAATTCTCTGAATGATTCTTTATCCTGATGTCTGAAAATCAATAACAAAGCACTCCTTGTCTCTTTAAATTTAATTTTTTCAGAGCAATGGGATTTTTTTCATTGTGCAAATTCCATTAGAGTTGCATTCATGTACAAAGATATTTCTGGAATACATTCACATATTCTTGTGCTTCCTTTTTCATGGCTTCCATTGTTCAGTGCTTTAAGCTTTAAACCTCCTAGATAATCTACTGGTTTCATTTTATATACATAATACATATAAACAATTTTATGGAATATCAGACATTTGATTAAATGAAGATATTTGCTGTCAGCTTTTAAAAATATGCTCTTTGAATTTGCTTAAAAAGTCAAACTATTTTTCAGTGATAAACACCCTTTCATTTGCCAAAAGTTAACTTATTTTTAAATGAGGATTCAATTATTGCTTGATGATAAAGGGTGACAAAAGTACTATTTTGTAATCTGCTTTAATATAGATTTAATAATTCAAACCCCAGCAATTATTGAATTGAAATGTCAAATTACTGACAACAGTAAAAAAAAAAAATCTTACTTTTTGCCCTGTATTTAACATACTAAAATATTTGCTTTATTTTTTCCATCTCTGAATAAATTTCCTTCCTTTTAATGAAAATGTAGAGCTATCCCCATGAATGTTTAATCACACTTGCTACAAATTTAGTAGGTTTCTTGAAGAGAAAAAAAGAGAAGATAGACCTGAATACTTATTTAAGATTCTTTACACTCCTTCTCATATGTTTGCTATAACATCGATTTCATTTTGCTGATGATATGCTGTGAATTCCCATAGTGAGCACTCAGACAGGCAGGAAGATCTCCAAAGGAGAACTGTGGTGATGTGTTTGTTTTTCCAAGTGGAGTCAATATTTGAAGACATCAATTTTCTAAAAATCTGTGGCCCTGGAGTTCCGACCCTGGAGAATATTCTGTGGCCTCGTGCAGAAGGAGGGAAGTTGTGGGTCTGTGTTATGTGCTGTTATTATTTAAGCAAGTAAAAAATCCTGCAAAAATAGTGGTAAAGAAGATGACTGTTCCCAAACACAGGGAAGGATTACTAGGGTGTCTGTGCAGGGCCAAGAGTTGGACTGGATCATCCTTGTCAGTCCCTTCCAGCTCAGGGTATTCTGTGATTCTGTAATAACAGAGGTGAGAAATGGATCTTGGATGTGATGCAGCACTTAGAGAGACAGAAATGCCCTGGGTCACTCCTATTTCATGGGCAATTAAAAGAGTTTTAGAGGTAGGAGTCAGTCAGACTGTGCAGGGGTGCACTGGTTAATCACGCCATAACATGAGACTGCTCTGCTTCCATGCTAATTTTTCAAAGTCCATGCTAGAGATAAACTGAACCAGCATGGCCTAAACTCCTCAAAAAGTGTGTATTGTTTCTATGTGCTTTGGAAAGGTTGTTCATCCAATCAATGAAAACCAGGCACATGAGTATCAAGCACAGAATTAATGAACCTCTTTAGAAATTAAGGCCTAAACTCCTCTGTCACATGGTTTTACCTATTCTAAAATATTTTGTGTCCTTGTAAATCACCTGTAGATCTGTAGGATCACTACTGACTGTTATTTTCAAGCCTTGGGTACGTACAAGCATTTCCAGGTATGCAGATGTATCTGCAAATTTTTTGCTTTCCATCACATAGTTGGTTCAAACACCTGCAAAGTTCCACTGATTAAAGAATTAATATGCAACACATAAACAATACTAAAAGTAAGAAATTCCAGTGCATGGAATGGAATGATTGTTTTATGTTATAACAGTATAGAATGAAGAGGAAGAGGACATTCAGTTTTAATTTCTGTTTTACAGGTACATGCCAACAGCAAAAGATGCAGAAAGGTACCAGTCATTCAAGGGGTTGTGCTCAGAGCTGCACGTGGTTGACCAGTTTATGTTAGAGGTAAGAGGCATTAAAAGACACCACACCTAGAAATGGGCCATTTCTAGGGCATTCTCTGAGGTAAAACCACTGTTGTTTGGAATTTACATTTACAATCTCACCCAGAATCAGCATAAAAGGTTTATTCTGATAAATAATCAGAAGAGAGTATTACGGATTGCTTTGCTTCTCCAAGTCACGCCCCCTCCCCTTCCTCCAAAGTAGGAGCTGATTTATTCTGAGCTGAGTTTCCAAAATATACAAGCAGAAAATTGTGTGTAATTAAGCACTCTTGTTCACAAGAAAGGAGTGTCATTGATTTTAATAAAGTCTGGCCCTACCAGCACATTTGAATTTGCATATGCAAATGTGCACAGTCAAGTGTGCGCCACAGTAAATCCACAGACCTCGAATAAAATCAATAAATGAGCACAGAAATTAGGGAAACTATGGTGTAGCTGAATTGCTCAATAAATTACAATGTATATATGCATGTTTTGGTACAAACATGACTTTTGATTCCGTTTCTGTTCAATTCTGTGCAGATGTGTAAAATCCCTCACTTAGGCCAGAGGTTGGATCTCCTGCTCACTGTCCGTGAGCTCCCTGAGAGCATGAGAGATTTGGAGCCTGTGAGTAACATGAGTCCTTTGTCATCAGAATCTACCACTTTGATAATAGAGGGCCAAATAACCTCAATGCAGATCCTTTTTTTTCTAATATGTATATAAAGAATTTTCAAGTTTTTTATTTAGTGGTGTGAAACTTTCCTCTTTCTTTGACCAGTGAGAAACGAATTTCACCATTAAAATTTAATTTCCTTGGTGGGGAGGTCCTTGCACAAGCTGAAAGAATCAAGCTGAAAGACATAGAGCAAGTTTATTTCACCAGCATCTCACAGAGAATTTCCTCTTTTCAGAAGAATGGAGGAGACTGTTCCTCCTAAGGAGTAGAGGACTGAACTAAAATATCAGGAACCAGAGCTCAAGTCCCTCTCTGCCTTCTTTCAGGATGACCTAAGGGTGGGGGGAGGCAAATAAACAGTCTCATGACTGGACCTTCCTGTTCCAAGCCACTGCCTTCCCTGCCAGGTTTTGTCTATGGTTCAAAACGAGTATTTTGACATGATCCTGTTTATATGAAAATATTTCAGAGGTTTTGCTCTCCTTCTGCATGGGAATGAAAACAAAATTTGAAAGTTCTGCAAGACCAAATTGTTACCCTTTGTCTGGCTGTGATTAAAATCATAGTAACAGTGGATGAAGTTCAGAAGAGGAGTAGATGGAAAACACAGGGGAGATGCCCAGATTTCTGGCCCTGCCTGGTGCACTGGTACACCTTTGCTGTCCTCCACTGAAGCCAAATACTTGAATGTTTAGAAGTTATTATATGTATTATTTGATTTGACTGATATTTAATCTTCATTCAATGTTCACTTATCGGTTGTACAAGTATTTTCTTACTTAGGCTCACTAATACCTGTTTTTTAATCATAGAATATACACCTAAAATTCTATGGGGCAACCTGAATATTGGCTTTCAGCCCCCTCTGGCCCTGAGATGTGCTATAAATGTTTTAACAACAGCTTTCAGCTCTCCCATGTGTTTCCACCTTTCCCTGTTTTTAAGTTTGTGTGTTGGTGACTGACGAAAAGAGGTGTGGTGCTAAAAAAAATATAAACTTCCTAGTGGAGAACAAAACCACCTCTTGTGTCCATAGCCCTAGAAGGGAGGTGGCTTCCCTGGGAAAACAGAATTATATTGAGTTTGATTACAGGAAATCATTATTCTTCCTTGTGGGGAAACTGTGCTAAGAATTTTGATAACAGTTTTCGGCTGGTATAAACAGAAGGGAGGGAGGGGGAGGCTGGAGAGCCCCACACTGAGCTCCAGGCTCTGTTTCCCCTGGTACCTGACATTTGGTGCAATCTGGTGCATTCCAACAGCAAAACACTTCTTCTGCAGAGGCATTTTGAGAGATGAGGTTGAAGTTGTTTTGGCAGCCAGCGAGGATGTGACCTCCTTTTGGGCAGAGTAACTGTGCCAACACAGCGTTGTCTTGGGAGACTTTTAACTGGTCCCACCTGAAAACCCCTGGCCTGTTTCCTTGGGGGAGCTGGGTAGGAAGATGTCATTGGTGAGGTGTGACTTTGCTTCAGGTGGGGGCAGTGAGGCTTTGGCACAGGGGCCCCGTGGATTTACCCACATTTTCAATCTGAACTGAGGGAGGATCTGTCTGTGTTGCAGCTGATAAATCAGAAGATCCAGGCCAGTAAGCAGCTGCAATCCAGCCAGAAGTTTGTTGCTGTCTTGGAGTACATTTTAGCCATTGGGAACCACCTAAATGAGAAGGCTGGAAAAGAGGTGGCGAAAGGATTTCGACTGTCGTCTTTGGCCAAAGTGAGTAAATATTTTCTTGCCGTTAAAAATCCTGTTTAACGTTATATTCTTGAATGTCTGTGATAAAAAGATGAGTTTCCCCATTTCAGACAGCAGCACTGGCTGGGTTGGGACTTGGTGGCCTTCAAGTACCTGAAAGGGAACTACATGAAAGATGGAGAGAGACTTTTTCCAAGGGCCTGGAGTAACAGGACAAGGGGGAATGGCTTCACACTGACAGAGAGTAGGGTTAGATGGGATATTACAAAGAAATTCTTCCCTGTGAGGGTGATGAGGCCCTGGTGGGGAGGTTGGTCCCTTCCAACCCAAACCACTCTACGAATCCATGAATCTAAGTGTCTTTTGCAACAAGTGGTACATGGCCATTTTAAGGTAAAGTTTCAAAAGCAGAATTTGAACAAATTAATAAATAGAAAGGGAGTGAAATTTCTTGCAATGCTTTTAACCCCTCATCATTGCTCTGCTGGATGATTTAATAGGGGATGAAGGTGGGAGTTGTGATCTTCACTCTTTCCTGACAGAGATCTGCTGTACAACAAGCATCATCCAGTTCTTAATTCTCTAATTGTCTCTTCACTGACTTAATACTTGTGTGACATTAGCCTGAGTTTTCCATCAGTTTTAAGAAACCTACTTTCCACTCTTCATCAGAATTTGCCATCAGAAAATGCTACCGCTGAAAATAGGGGTTTTTTCCCCTTCCTCCATCCAGCAGTTGCAGAGCATAATATTCTTATCCTAAAATGTAAGAAACAGATACAAATTTCCTAAGCTGCCTTATGCCTTTAATAGTATTGTAAAATTATGCCTCATCTGTAAATAGAAGAGAGAAGGATTTTTATTTTGTTTTTATAAGATATCTTTCCCATCTGGAGACTTTAATATATGAGTGAATGATTTATAACTCTAGTGACAATTCTGAAGCACAACTTGCATCCTTTTTTAAATTATTTTTATATATATAATGCCTGTAATAGACATCTATCATAATGAAAAATGCCTACAAAATCATTTTCTGCCACAGAGCATCTTCCCAGATTCAATTAAGGAACTTTGCTCTCTTCCATGAAGACAGCACACTACTTCTAAGTGGAAAGGAATAATGACTATGGTTGTTTGGAGGTCCAAAATCTCAATTAGGAGACCTTAAGTATAAAAAGATCTGTGTGAATAAGACACAGAAGAACAAGGAAGGTCAAGGGATATGGAAGTGGAAAGCTGATCTTAATCAAGAATGTGTGTGAAACGGCAGATTGAAAAGGAGAAGTTTAATTTTATTGTTTTCTATTCTTGTTAAACTTACCTGGGAGCTATCAACAGCCTTGCTGTTCCTTTATTTAATTATTTTTTTTAAGGTGTAACAGCTCAGCCTGTCAATCACTGCTCTGCTTTGTTTGCAGTTACCTCTGCTGAGGGGTAAAGAGAGGACGTTCACTTTGCTTCACGCCCTTGTGGAACAGATCCTCTTACATGAGCCTGATCTGGCCACATTTTCTCAGGAGTTGACAGAATTTGAAGCTGTTCCTGATGGTAAGAGGAGAGAGAGGGGGGAAATAGTCAACCAATAAAAAATGAAGTCCTTCAACTTCTGTGGAAACTCCCATCCTCACCATATGAATGATATTTATTAACATGTTTTCCCCCCTCTCTCCCTTTCCAGCTTCCATGAAGGGCCTCAGTGCTGAAGTTGATGGTATGTAAATGTGGGCTATACATTCAGAGAAAGGCTTTCATACCTTGTGCAGTCATTTGGAACAGGCTTTCATTGCACTTCTGTAGTTTGTAAAGAGAGGTAAAGGTTCAAATCGTTGAGGTGAAGTGTTACTATGGTGATACTTGAGCTGTCATGTTACCTAGAAGAATTAAAAAAAAATAAATAGTGTCCAGGTGGTTTAAAAATTAAAAAAAAAAAAAGAATAGACTACCCATGGTAAATAGAATTTATCATAAAGTACAAATGTTAAGTGGTACAAGTGCTCCATCAGAGTTACAGCTGTAGTAGATTCCCTGGGAGCTGGGAATGCACCAGGAGAAAACTTCCTGCAGCTCAGCCCTGGACTTCAAGAACTTCTTTGAACCAAACTGGTTTCCTTCTCTAGAAAGGAGTCCAGCACCAGTGAGGTCAAGAGGAGGGAACAGAATAAGGTTGTTCAAGTGTAAGATAGGTTTGGGGAGATATTTACAACTCACTGTTGAACAGTGTCATGAGATGCCAGTGAGCTCAATGGATTTCAGGCTGAACTCTTGAAAGCTGACAGGAATGGTATCTGAGTTGGATGCTAATGACTGTGTATTGTCTGGAAAGTTTATAAAAATCTGTCTTTTGAAGATGTGGAATGTGTGTTGACTGTAACTACAGATCAATATATCCCATTCCAGCCTTTGCTAGTATATCTGTATTTATATGTCAGGCTTTGGGTCGAAAAACCCTCGCACCCCTTCTGCTGGGCTTTGGGAGTCAGCCAGGCGTGTATCTTGAGGCTACTGAAGTGTGTTTTATTCTGCTCCCAGAAATTCCAATCAGCTTTTTAGGAGACATAAGTGACTAAAAATAATGCTATCTACCTTCAGTCACTTGTGATCTTCAGGGACAATGTTGGTAGCAATTCAAATTCATGAGATATTTTAAAGACAGTTTTGGAAAGTCAGGGCTAAAGTGGTAAAATGGGCACGGAACCAGAAACCAATTGTCAAAGGAAGTGGTTCCTGGGAGCTGGAGGAGGTTCACTGGCTTCTTCTCTTCCTGGATTCCTGATGGGCCCAGCTTAGTCACTCCTCTGGGTCCCATTCACCAGGGCAGAGAGGGAAGGAGATGGACCAAATGCCACTGCACCAGCCTTTCTCACTGTGTCGTTCAAGGCACGTGCTGGAGCTCCTCTGCTGCAAGTCCTGCACGAGCACAGGGGCAGGAAGATGCCACACTACAGCCTGGGTCAGTTCAGGATCAAGCCACCAGAGCCAAGGCTTTATTCTCTTTTCCCCCATTTCCCAGTGTGGGAGCTCCCAGGGTAACAGCCCAATGTTGTGCTCGGTGCCAACTGACAACATTTTTCACTGTTGCATAGAAGAGAATTTTTGTTCTCTTATCTTCAAAGGAACCCTGAACTTTCTACAGAAAACCATAGGTTTGAACAGTGTTATTTTCACAGCTAATTTCAATGCCCAGAGCTAGGGAAGGTCAGATTTATGACCGCTGCATTACCATGCTATCAACCTCTTCATTATTCTGCAGCGATGTGATGTGATCACATACTACTTTTTCCATAATAAAATGCCCCTTTCAGGGTTTCTACTTCAAAATAGAAAGTTAATATTCCTGGATGAACATATTATAGGCCCATATTCTCTTAAATTTTCTTTGTGTCCTAAATTAGACATTTGCAGTCCTTTGGTCACATCTGCATGCTGGTGAAATTTCCTCTTTTCTTTCTCTTTTGTTAGTTTTAAGAAAGGAATTGGAAAACATTATTCAGTTCAGGAGGCTTATTAAACCCAAGACAATCAAGGCAACACCCCAGGAATTACAGTTCTGCAAGGAATTAAAGGTAAAATTACCACAACTTTCTTGGGGATGGAGGTAAATGATGAGTCACTTGTTAGTTTGTCTGAGACCTGCCCTGACAAGGGAATCAGGAGCATTTGAGGGAAAGTGGTTTTTTATTCCCCTCTGACAGTGTCTCATAGTATAACCTGCAGCATGGGAAGGGTTTTCAGAGTTCTGCATCTCCTACTTTTGCTTCACCAGATAAATGGGATGGAGTGGATGAGGAACAGCAGGCCCTATAGTGGCCCATGACAAGCACTTTGGAATAAGAGGAATTTTTGAGCATCTATGAATTTGTAATGATTTCTTCTGCCTTCAGATAAAAGGGGAGACAGCACAGACAATCAGAATCATTTACGATTAGAAAAGACCTTTGAGAGCATTGAGTCCACCCCTAAACCTAACACTACCCAGGCCACCACTAAACAATGTCCCCAGGTCTCCCACCTACACGTCTTTTGAATCCCTCCAGGGATGGTGACTCTACCACTTCCCTGGGCAACCTGTTCCAATGCTTGATACCCCCTTCACTGAAGCCATTTGTCCTAATATCCAATCTCAACCATCCCTGGTGCAACTTGAGGCTGTTTCCTCTTGTCCTATCAATGTTACTTGGTTAAAGAGACCATCCAAGAAACACCATCCAAGGCCATGCCTAAAGTGTGATTATAGGATGATCTAAGTTTATTCTGCCCTTGCCAGTGACAGAACAAGATGGGTTGGAGGACACAAGGGAGAGGAAGCTGAGCAGGCTGTGGGAAGCCCAGCTTTGGCCAGGAGTCAGCAGAGGGGTTGATATCTCAACTACAGAGAATTAATAACTCAAGAGCAGAGTTGTGTTGGTTGTGAACTGGGCTAATGCCAGTTCAGGGGTTCCCCACCCTGGTGTGGGCACGTCCATCTCTGCTGTCCCTGGTATCTCTGTGCTGAACTTCACTGGGCAGTGCCAGCATCTGCTCAATCCACGTGTCTCCTTCTCCTTTGGAACAGCTTGGCAGGTGCTTCTTCCATACATATTCAGCTGTCAAAAATACCTATGTTACAAAGGAACCATAATTAAGAAATTTAACTCCCAAACTTAAGTTTCTAAGGTCCTATTTCTGCCTCCTTAAGAACCAGCAACTGGGAGCATTTGCTTCACATGCAGAAAGGCCAAATGTGGTGGAAATGAGGACCTTCTGATGCTTATCTAGTTCTGCCAGTTTTAATAAATTTAGGTAATGTCATTGGATAATACAGTTAAAATTCTCTAACCTTGATGTTTCTTTTTTTTTCTATCTTTGATGTCTTAATACTTGCAAGGAAATGCGTGTGCTTGATGTAGGCTTCTCTTTTGTGAAATGTGAAATTTTTGTGACATGAAAATTTTTACTTGAATTATCTTGTTTTCACTGCTGTTTAATTCCTGCTTTAATATTATGCTCCTATAGTAAATTAAGAAGTTTTATTTTATTACAGGATTTAATTCAGAAATATGAAGGGGATCTATCCCAGCTGTCAAAAAGATGTGATGAAATGAAGAAGCTTTATAGCAACGTACTGGTACATATCATATTAAAATGCAATGAAAATAAATCTACTTTTTTTTTTTTTTTTTTTTTTTAAAGAGGGTGAAGAAAGAAGTGGAAAGAAACACAAGAAATTCCTATGTGCTTGATAGTTATACAGTCTATAGAAACAGAAACAAAACCCCCCATCTAACAATGGTCAGAGGCTTTAAGGAAGAGGGTTGCTGAAATGCAGTGCTGACTTCTGAAACTGGAGTAATGTTCTGGTTTTGGGATTGGAACATGATGACTTTAAGTGTGGTGGTGGGTTTTGTGTTTGTTTTTTTTGTTTGTTTGGTGTTTTTTTTTTGTTTGTTTTTTGGTTTGGTTTGGTTTGGTTTTTTTTGTCAGGGGGAAGGATTAAAAGTAGAGAAGTTCAATAATAAGCAAATGTTACACAGAAGATGCAGCCAGGAAGACCTTTGGGGACCTACCTGAACAGACATTGCAGATTAGCGAGATGTTTGACCAAGGAAATTTAATTAGTGATGTTTTACTAAAAGTAATATTGTAAGAATGTACAGGGGTTTCCTTGTGGCTCTTGCAAACTGGAATAATGCCACAGTTTAGGGCAGCAAGCCAGATTGGTCTGCAGCACATGGAGAACTCAGTCCCAACCCTTCAAAGGAGTTGAAAACCAAGAAGAACATCTGAGACTCCTTTTGTATCTCAAGAGGATTTCATTTTCCATGTAGCTGGACGTTTCCTCAACCTTTAAGCCAGCTGCTTTTTGCCTTCCTTTCCCTGTTATTCTCTAAATAACTTTTTTGATGGATTTCTCTCCCTTAGAATGGATTTTTTTTTTCTTCTGAACAGTGTTATTGCCAAGCATGTTTATAAAATTTTTTACATGTTTACAAAGCGGCAACAAATGTAAAGCAAATATAAAATAGGATGGGTGAGCAAAGATCAACTTATCATCCCATTGGCACTAGGAAGGTACAGTCCAGCTCACCTGGAATAGCTGATCTAGAATTGTGTTGGAGTAGCCATGGAAATCATGTTGCACATAACCCAAAACTCCACAGGCCTACCTTGATGCTTTTATATCCTCCTTACAAAATCAGTAGTGACCTTGGCATGTGACATTTCTATGGGATGAGCAATAAATTGGGGATAACTGCCTGTGGCATAGCTGTGGGCTGTCAACTCCTCACAGATGGTCATTAGCTCCAGGAAATGCCTCTTTCTTTACTCTTTAACTGATGACACACCATGGGCCAGATGTGCCAGAGATGAAGGGCTTGGAGCACCCAAGAGTGCAATTAGGAACATACAGGCAAAACTGTTAATCAGGTGTCAGTGCTTAATGTTAAAGTTTTTGTGACTGGATTATATTTGAGTGGTTTCTGGTGCTGTGTTTCTGGTTTCCAGACAGAGGGTTTGCTCCTAAGAGCTGTTAGATGGTGTCTAGGTGGACAGGTTTAGGAAATGACAGATCTGCCCAAACCTCCCCTGTATTGCAGCTGCAATTTGAAGCCCTGGAATACAATTTCATTGCTGTTCTGCCTTGGGAGAGCTGATCCCACAATTACAGGGGAGCTCTCAATTACAGCCAAGATCAGAACTTGGAGTCTCTTTTTGATGAAGCCTTTGGAGCATGTTCTTTGGATTTCATAGAATCAAAGAATGGTTTGGGTTGGAAGGACCTGGGCAGGGACACCTTCCACTAGCCCAGGTTGCTCCAAGCCCTATCCAACTGTCCTTGGACACTTGCAGGGATGGGGCAGCCACAGCTTCTGTGGGCAACCTGAGCCAGGGCCTCCCCACCCTCACAGTGAGAAATTTATTCTTTTTTTTTGCCAATATCATTCACATCTTTTTAAAAACTTTCTATCTGTTCACCTTTTTCAGGTGACAGAAAGAAGAGAAACAGGGAAAGGCTCTTTGATAAATTACTTTCTCTCCCAAAAATGTTTGCTTCCCTATGAAGAATTTTAGTTTGTTTGCAAAGCAAAATGACAGAAAAGGGAAACTTTTTGGCCTGCCATGAAATATAAACCATATTTAGGATGTCAGTTCCCTGGAGATTTCAGACAGCTCAAAGGTTTCTTCCTCCTCCTCTTCCCCTTCTTCTTCCACCTTTTCTTCCTTTTTATATTAACATTAACAGTAATGAAGGTATTTAACTTTTCCCTTGCTTTTAAAAATTTCATTAAGATCCTGGACATGGTTTAGATTACTTGGATATACTAATATTAAATATTTTTGTCTTTCAAATTTACAGGTAAAGTTTGGGGAGCCACAAGACCTGGACTCCCAGGAACTCTTTGGATGGATATCTTCCTTCATTTGTGAGTTTAGGAAGGCCTGTGCTGAAGTCACACCATAAAGAGAACACAGATCTTATAGAGAACTGAGGGAAAGAGGAGTCCAGGAAACAAGATTTATTTGGTTTTTTACTTACTGATGAAAAGCACATAACCAGTATCTGCACAGCAGAACACCCTGATTTTGAGAGACTTTCAATCTATAATGTGTAATTTGTAAGTGGTATTTGATCTGTAGAATCCCAGATCACTTAAGAGCCTCTCAAATTTTCTGATGTACCTTGAGATTCCTGTATATTTAGAGAGGAAACACTTCTGACATTTTATAACTTCTCTTTTCAATCTTCTCCTTTGATACTCGGCCTTCTGACTCAGTTTTAACTGTTATTTTCAATGAGTAAGTTTCTGTATGGTGATCTAATTTCTAAAAGAATACTTTCCCAAGTTTAATAATGAAATGGGAAGATGTTACCCATAGAGGAGAATATTTAACAAAAATTCTTGTTTCTTTTTCTGCTATTAAAGCACTGCAGCCTTAGTATGGAATGGAGAAAGTATCTAGCCGGGGGTTTTGGTTTGTAGTACAATAAAATAGTGCTTTTCATGGCTAATGTCATGTATTGGAGTAAAATGCTACAGAAATCAATCAATATGTGAGATTTGCATTTGCAGGAAGACAAAAATGTCAGAGAAGCAAAATAAAAAGTTGTCACAAAGCATCTAAGTAATGGATATGGGAGATAATTACCCAAGGTTTTCAAAAGAGAAAATACTTCTCTTGCATTTGTTGGCTTTTACATGTTTTTAATTAGAATAATTATCTAGAGCTCCAATAAATGAGAGGAAAAGGAGGCCTCTAAATGCAAAGACAAAATGGATGTGTTTAACATTAAAAGCAGAAAATAGCTTAAAAGGTCATTGAAAAAAAAAAAAAAAGTGGCATTTTCTCTACCAGTTCTGCAAATATTGTTTGGGAAAAAGTGCTTTACCTGATTTATTTCAGGTCTGACTGCCCAGGTCTTTGCAGTGTTTGGGCTTTGATGGAAATGCTGAACACTCTCCCTGACTTCAGTGCTAAAAGGAGTTGGGCCTAATCCCTCTGAAAGGGTTAGATGCACTTACATCCAAAAACTACATTATCACAGCTCTCTCTCAGCTGGCAGATAACATTGCTCCATATCCAGCATGTCCTTGGCTGTTCCAGGTGGGACCGCTGAACGTCCAGGAGTTTAGGAAAAGGGCCAGGATGGAGCTGGGCACCCACCAGTTGGGTGCTGCAATCCGCAGATTCTTGGTGCTGGTGTCAGACAGGTAAAGGACAATCACCAGCAGTGCAGAGACACCTGGACACTGGAAGGTGGAGATAGAAAAACACCAAGATTGTCTTTCTTGTCTTGGCCTCAGTGCTTCAAAGAGCAGCACAGGCTGCAGTTCCTGGGCAGTTACAGCCCTGACTGCCAGCCCAGCCCACTGGGAAAAGGCAGAAAAGTGTTCTTGCAGCTAATTAGGAAGAAATCCTGCCCTGTGAGGGTGGGCAGGCCCTGGCACAGGCTGCCCAGAGAAGCTGTGGCTGCCCCATCCCTGGAAGTGTCCAAGGCCAGGTTGGATGGGGCTTGGAGCAACCTGGGCTTGTGGAAGGTGTCCCTGCCCTGGCAGGGGGTGGGACTGGATGAGCTTTAAGGTCCTCTCAACCCAAACCATTCTGTGATTCCATGATTGCAGCAGCAGCCCAGTAACCAGTGGGATCCCTCAGCTTTGCTCCCCTCCGTCAGCTCTTCCATGTCTGCACTTGCAAAGGGCACAATTTTGGCTTTTCAAAGCCTTGTCAGGACTCTTCTCCCGGTTAACCACATGCAGTCACCTTTCTCAGAAGCAAAAGAGTAAAAAGAAAGCAAAATTAGTACCTCTGATACTTATTTTATATAAAAATATTTACCGAAGCGAATAAAGGGATTTAATTTTACTGATGTCTTGGTGATATGTGCTTCAGATCAGCATCAGAGCAGTGAGATCTGGTTGACACTGAAGTCAGTGGCATGTATCTGTGTATCAGGAGCTGCAGCTTGCACCCCTCATTTCTGGCTGAAAGGGGAAAGTGAAATTCCCTTTCAATTTCTTGCCTCTCTATCCCACAGTGCCGTGTACAGGACATGGACCTGCACTGTAAACACTTGCAGGTTTTGATGTGTGTCATTACTGCTCCAAAATCTGAACTATCTTCATTTGTATGTGAATCATGTAAGATAATCCTGAATACAAGAGCCATTTCCATGGTATCAAGATCCCTGCATCCCTGAACAGTGTTCGTGATGGTCATGATAAGTTCCAGGTTTTTTCTACCTTGGCTCCAGAGTCCTGGGAAGTCTTTTTTAACTAAATAGATTTTTTTTTCTTTTCTTTTTCACAACTCCCTTTTTTCCTCCCAGTCTTTTTTTCTCTATTATTACATCTAACAGCCTGTACTTGTTTTATAGCTCAGCTGGCATGGCCTCTTCCAATTAAAAATATATCCTACATGGGAGTCAATATCTGTGTCTTTGTGTGAATATCCTGGAGCATTAATTAACAAAATTAATGTCCAAATATCTTCTCATCAAGAAGTTCTCTCCCCTTCAGAGAGGGAACTTTCCTCTGGAGTGGGATCTTCCTGAGGAGAAATTTTTCCAAATAAAGCTGTGAGTTTCAGAGACCTTCTGATTTATATGTAAAATAAATACACCCTGTTCTCTACCTCGTTCTTTATTTCTTTAGTGTTATTTAGCATAAGGCTGGGTTTTCCAAGTCTTAGAGTCAATGGTATCACTAAGTCTTAGTGGTATAAAGAATAACAGGTTTTATGCCTTAACATTTATTTGAAATTATTTAGGCATTACTTAGACATATTTAGAGAATTATTTCAAACCAAAAATATAAAGAGCAGAGATTATCCAACACTAGACTCAGTGGAAAAAAATGAACTCCCATAAATGGACAATTATATCCTAGGGCAGTGGTTCAACTTTGCTTTCTAGTTTTCCTCTTTTTTTTCCCCTTTCCTATTTGAATTACCAGGCAACAGGCAGAGTGCTCCTGATAATTTGTATAAATGAACAGTCAAAATGAAAACTGTGGTCACTTGGAAGGTGTTCTGTGCATAAAGGCCTTGATGTCACTTATGTGTGCTGGTTATAGTTTAAATGTAATGCTTTTCAATTCCAAACAGCGATTTTAGGAGAAGGGAAAAAATGGTGTTAAGACAAAGAGAATAAAAACGTGGGGTCTCTAAAAAGGAGCCTGTTGGGCACTCGCTGTACAACAACTAAAGCCTCAAAGTGTTCTTAGAAAATGCTCCTTTGCTTAAGAAGTTGCTGCTAATGATGATGCTCTGAAAAACCACAAACAGGTTTCAAGCTGCTCGTCTTAAAGAAGAACTTATTAAGAGTTTCAAGCCAAGGGGCTGCTTAAAGAGCCCTTGGAGAGATCCTTCCCTGCCTCACCCACAGATGTTTGGATTTGGATATTCACAGAACCAAGATTTGAATCCCTGATTTTAAAGATGTTTTCAAGCTGCCAGAATGCTCAGGTAGTAAGTTTTCTCACCAAACTAAATGTAAATATTCATTTTTTCACCCTTGCTGCTCACTGCCCAAGGAGAATATTCCAAAAGTTGAACTAACTACTTTCTTCCCAGAGTAAAAAAGTAAAGGAGAGCCTTTGAAAGCTCTCAGACTTATGCAGGTATGAATATTTTGTGCAAATAATAATTTTATTTAGCATTAACTTGAATATTTTGTGTCATAGCATGTTATTGCACCTGACATGAGATGTTTAAGCAGAACAGTGGGGGTTTTTTTGGGTGCACATTGAACTAATTGCAGGGAATGCTAAATGGCTTAAGCCTTTACATTTGATGCCTATTTACTAAGGGATGAATTTTTCCCGTTGAAAATATTTTAGTCAAGGGCAGTCAGCAGTAATTTAACAACAAAACCCCACAAAATATTGCTTTAAGCTCATTTTACAAATGAGACACTTGAAACAAAAGGTTTCAGATGTAAACTTGAAGTCTCTGGATGCAATTTAAAAATGCTGCAGTGTGTTTTGAAACATCAATAACTGACACTCTCTTGCTTGCACAAGGGTAAATAACTGGTGATCTGTGCTCTGGTGATGTCACTTGCCCATAAGCATTGACTTTAAACCCCAAACCCCAAAGGTTATTGTCCATATAGATCAAGTACTGAGGAGCAGATTTATACCAAAATTCTTCTTGTAGCTCCTAGAAATTTTCCTGAACAACCTCTATAGGACGTGACCTGAAATGAAGAAATTATAAATAGAAATTTGCTCAACTCTTTTTCAAACCAGGAACTTTTCTCAGTCAGTAAATGATTCCCAGACAATATCCCAAGTTGCTGGCATTAATGCTTACATTGAAGTTTGTTGCTTGGAATGCTGCCACTTAAAACAATCTGATCTCTCACTTTGTTGTCAGGAATTAAGCTGATTAGGAAAATTAAACCCCATCCAAATCCCTTAGATTATGGATTTACTGAACTTGCCCTGTGAAAGGACAACGTGGCTGTGATGACTCTGCTCTCCAAGCCTTGGGTGCAGCTGATGAAGCAACTCCCCAGTTCTCAGACCAAATGCCCCAAAGTCATGCAGAGCCTGGTTTTAGGTACATAAATTCTTTCTATCCATTTGTCTCTCTCTTTTTGGAAGCAGCGAGGCCGTGCTGACACCCTCCCCAAAGGGCTGGAATACATGCAAAAATTAACTTCTGTCTTAAAGCTTTTTAATCTGAATCCTCGGAGACTCAGCTAAGTGCTCATTAGCTTTTATCTTGATGAACCATCCTGAGGAAGAACTTGGAGCAGCCATAGAGAAAGCTCAGTGCAAAGCAGTCAGTGAAATTTTGTTATCTCCTGAAAGCCAGCCAGTGTTTCCAGCTGAAAATTCCACGGGCTGGGATTGGTGTAACGCTGGGAAGCACGTCAGGAAATGACACGTGGAATGGAGGTCTCGGGGAAGGACACCCTGGTCAGGTACTTGGAGCTCACAGTGATTACTGAACACAAGCAGCTCTTCAGAAGTTTTGACTGTCTGGATGGCTTTTAATTTTTTCTTTCTGTTTTGCCTAGTATTTCTTCTATGTATTTTGATATTATTAAAGGAGTTTTGGCAGAATCACGGAAAGCAGGAGGCTGGAAGGCACCACTTGGGAAAGACACCAAGCAGCTAAAGGAGAAAAATAGGGGGGCCTGATGGAACTGGTTCCTTAGCTGTGAAATATATGTATTGTTTTCTTCCCTGCATCTTCTTAAAGTGTTAACTATGACAAAGATATATAACAAATATTTCTTGTTCTTGACATCTTTGCTTGGGCAGAATCAAAAAGGTCTGGTTAAGAATTCCTCAGTGACACCTCCAGGAAATTATTCAAACTTAAAGGAAAATTACTCTTAAAAGACTTGATCTTTTTCCATCCCAGAGGTGGCTGCAGTTTATCTATAAGGAGTTCTTGGTTACATTTAATTACATAATGTTGGGGTCCTTTGGGGTGAATTTGCTTCCCGTAGGGAGTTCGGAGGGGATTTTGAGGACTTCTAATTCAGCTCTTGCAGTGCTGTGCTCCCCATGCACATCATCATCTTCAATGGAATTGTCTTTGTCCTTATCCACA